CCTGCTCACAGTGAAAAGCAATTTCAAATCAACAACCATATGAATCCAGATTCATTAACAATCACTTTTTCCATAATTTTCCTCTTTCATTCAATTGTTTGAATGACCAAATGCCAAGTTTGGCACGGTTTCATCTGTGCCCTAGATTCTTGTAAAACACGAAGTTTAAAGAAACATGAAGCTTTAAAGTAACAGAGGCATAAATGAAAAACCTTGGAATAAACTTAACTTAAATGTAAAATGGCAATTGGGTTAACAAATCTTGGAATAAAACTAAATCACAAAATGAAAAGCACCTCCAATAAATTGACATTTTATACTTTTGGCTGGCCAAAAAATATCTACCTTTGCTGGAATATGCAAATAAAAATGCAATTTGACAAAAACATTGAAATTGAAATGCATAGAAGCAAAGCAAATTACAAAACCTCAAACCAAATGACAGCTTGGAAATGGAAGCAAATGTGAACTGTTTTTAATCATTTAGGTTCAAATGATTGGCAGGAGAAAGGACCATTCTTTGAATCAACATGATAAAAAACAGAACATGATTTAGGTGTTCAAATCACCAAAACTGAGAAAAACAAATTACGAAAAAAATTGAGAAAAACAATTAAATTGAAATGCACAGAACAAAAAAAATTGAGAAAAACACTTAAATTTCTTTATGCACAGAAGCAAAGCCAAGCACAAAACCTCAAACCAAATCACAGCCTGGAAATGTCAGAGCTTCAAAGCATAGACATACTCTAAATCAAATATAATTAACGCTAATCAAACGTAATTAAAGCTTATTAAAACAAATAAGAACTTGGAAATAGAAAAGCAGCATAACAAAAATACGAAAAAGCAAAGATTGAAGATGGAAAAGGAACCTGCAATTCGGGTTCTCGAGATGCAAAGAGACCAAGAGAGCGACAAAAAAATACAATGCAAGAAACCCTAATTTCTTAGCAAAAATCATGAACAGTTAAAACCTAGGTTTATTCGAACAGTAACCTAGGAATTGAAAGAAAGCTTACCTTTTGAATCGAAGGGAAACCAGAAACAAAAGGCTTCAATCACTACCTTTGCATGTTCGATTTATCAGTAAAATACACAGAATAAGAGTTACATCACATAGCAATAAATTAGAGAGAATTCGAAGACAAAAGGAGATTTGAAATGTGTAAACCTCACAAACATCACAAACCCTAGAATTCTTGCCGACCAAAATCACAATTTCGAATCTGAAGCTGCATGATATGAATAGAGTTTGTAAACCTAATCCTAAATCACAAAAGATTTGAAACAACCCTAGGTAGAGCTTTCGAAACCAACCCCTTTCTCTCCCTCGAATCGTACACCCCCTGTGACTCTGTTTGCCTGCAAGCCGCATGCCTTCCTCTCACCAAATCCCTATCTCTCTCCCTCCCTGTCTCTATTCTCTCTCTGCTCGCTCGCTCTTTCTCTCCCGACGGCATGCTCTCACCGAGTCCCACTGCAGCTCGAGAAAGAAAGGAAATGAAAGTCTCTAACCCACCCAACCCGTTCGAAACCCTACAGACTAAAATGACCATCGCACCCCTGCCTTTCCAATATCATCAACACGCGACATGAAGATCAGCGGCAGAGAGAGTCAGTGGCAGCCTTGTAAATAAAGTGAAATTCGGTTCCAAAGACTGTTCGTTTGTACAGTGCAATTCCAAATGACTAAGGGTGCGTTTGTTGCACCGGACTATCTCGGATTGGACAAGCTTCAGGGACTAAGCTGGACTGGCTTAGATTAGACTAATCTGGACTAACTTAGTGAAACATTTGGTGCAGTCTCGGACTAAAAAGCAGGATAACGAAAAACCATCACATTCATCACCCAATGACCAACAAAGCAATTGAGAACAAAAATCATACATTTTTTTATATAAAATTATAAAATTTTCATTTAATAAATAATGATGTTAGGAGCTACACATGATATGGAGTCATCGAATGAAGTACAACGTTGTGTATACAAAATGTATATATACGTTCTATATGATTTCTATTCGGCATACAAACTCAACTCAGGATCTGCTCCCTTCTTCCAGTAACTAGTGGACTGGTGCACTCGAGTCTGGACTCTCAATATCTGTTCTTCGCATATCAAATACGAAGAGTGCTTAACCTCGTGGCCGAAGATAAGGACACGCCAACATTCCTCTATGCACCCAACATGTGGAAATACACTTGAGGTGCCCACCCATCCAGTTGGTTTAGGAGAGGTAAGGACTGCTAGTAACAAATTGAAGCTGTGACAATTCCTACAAGACCTCCGCCGAAGACGTCCTGCCAATGATTCAGTAATCATCACACGAGAGATTCCCACGACAGCAGCACATAGTGATGGAAGAAATACAATACAAAGCTTTGCATAATAGCCTCTGTGATCAACACTTTGATCTTCCTAGACAAATACCATGCAAGAAAACCAAGAACTGCAAATAAAACTGAAGTATTTCAGCACAAGGAATCAAACAACAACAATTTTCTGCATTTATTTACATAAGTGAGATTAAATGAACAATTGTAAAAAGCAATTGAAATAGAATTGGAGGGATATGAACGGGAAAGTATAGTAGACCAAAACAAACAACTGAACCCAGTGCACCAGGCTACTGCCAAGGCAGCCATTGCAGAGTCATTGCAAAGTATATACATAGACAAACAATTAATGAATTTGGCTCCAAGTTTTCGAATTTTATTTATTAATTTACCAAAAACAACACCCAAACTCCAAAGCTCTGCATCTGCACCTCAATTCTTTGTCCTTAATACTAGTTTTCTAATCAAAAGCCTTGCATCTACATCCAAAGCCTTACATATACATCAAATTGTGGACGTGATAGGAATAGACAAGAGCACCACATGTTGAGGCACACAATTCTTTGTCCTTAATACTAATTTTCTAATCAAAATTTGCACCATAATTATCATTTTACTTTCCTCATATAACAACTAATTACTGATATTAATATGAACAAATGTGCAGCCCCGTGCACCAGGCTACTGCCATTGCAGAGTATTGCAGAGTCATTGCAAAGTACACAGATAAACAATTTGAACGACGCTAATAACCCACCAGCCTCGGACCACTTAGCCACTACTAATTTATGAAATTCAACCCAAATCAAAAACACCCCAAAACCACAAAATTCAAGAAAACTAATATTATCTACAAAACTGACAATCTTTGATGTAAAAATTCCAAATTTTCAGAGTTTTCAAACCCAAAACAACGAATCGATGAAAACCTAGTAATAATTTAACGATCTAGAACAAAATCGAAGAAATAAATCGTCAGATTTGAAATTTACCAGACCAAGAGTAGATGATGACGAGCAGGAAATGAGGGCGAGTAGTACGAGGATGACAGAGTAGGAAGATGAGCGACCAGACGAGGACGAGCGACGATTCTCTCTCGACGACGGGCTTAGCAATCCCGTTGTATTTGGGCGTCCTCGCTAAGAACTCTGAGTGAAGGCAATAGTCGGAGCGAGTGATGGCTAATCTCATTAAACTTAGTCCCTCTGCCTACCAAACATGGGACTATACTAATAATTAGTGTAGTCCAGTCCAATGAAACTTAGTGAGCCCAAACAAACACCCCCAAAGTAATAATGTATGGTGAAGATTGTTTTTTTATTGAACGACAGAGATTGATCTAGCTAATAAAAGTTATTAGAATGGTATGTTGGAAAGTTATAGAGTTAGTTATTTTGTAGGCTTGAGAACTTTGTTGTTCACTGTTTTGTGAGTATAAATTGTAAGCTCTCCCTCTCATTTTTTATGGTCTGTTCAACTCATAAATATCAATACTCTTAATCTTTATCTTCTCTGTTTCACTGCAATTAATATGCATAGTTTCATAACTTTTTCAACGTAGTTTATTATTTAGTCAAATTTTGAGCAGTATAATGGAAATCCATGGATGCATCTATAATCTTACTAGGTAGTATTCTTGACCATGAGAAAGAAAATCTGACGGAGTCCAAGCGGATCTTTTTTTATCAATTTTATGTCCTCCTGCGTGTGACGATATAACATTCAATTAATCCAAACATTATTAATTTATTTTTCAAGTAGGTAACGTATAACTAACAGCCAAACATATATAATTGTTGATCCTAAAAACTATCAAACCTACGTGGCGCATAGGCCGAGTAATTAATAAGCTAACTACGTTCTTCAGTTGTGTAGGACGTGCCAACTCGTCGGCCGGGGAGTAAAATATGTTGATATAGCGTTGGGTGCACTGTTGGCTTCTTGATCTTGCGACTGAGGCCGAGGAAGGAACACGTCTCGATCTTCGAGTTCTAGAGCCTGAAGACAAAGCTGCTAGTTTCTTCGAAGTTCACGAATCATCGGCGTCCGGTTCAGTCTCGGTAATTATATTCGTGAAAGTATAAGTACGTCGAACTGGTACCAGACTGTACGGACACAAATACTTGAAAGAAATAAATGTCTTGATTGTAAATGTGGTTCGGCCGTCGGAATATCAAACTCTAAAATGTACTTGCAACTATCCAATCATAAAACAAAATTCGACTTTCCATGATCAAGACTTGCAAGCAAGAGACATAACTATAAGTAGAAAAGAAAGGACCACTTCTACAAATTAATTACAACATGTTGGTGAATTCACTATAGATAGAAAAGGAGGGAGGCATTACTTTAGTCTAAAGAAAGCATTGCAATTTGCACTGTTCTTTACTGTTCATTATACCTGATTTCAGTTTATTTACAAGATAGCCACTGATGCTTTTATGTGTAGAAATGAATAGTGTTTACATAATTACGTTTTGGCCCATCACAGATTATAATCGAATGGTGGGCATGGTTTATTATGAAGGGTAGTTTTGTCCTCTCCGATTTGGGTGAGATGGGGGGGTGTCGGCGGGCAGCTATCATTTGCTCCCGTTCGATTAGGGTTTTGGGGAGGGCCTGCGAGAGAGAGGGGGGGAGAGAGAGAGATAGAGGCACATAGACGGGGAGAGAGAGAGAGAGAGGGGGGAGGGGTAGGGGTGCACAGAGAGACGGCGAGGTAGGGAGGGAGGATGAGGTAGGGTTGCTTTCGGAATTTTTGTTCCAGCTGGAAGTCATTTCCACAATCATTTATGAGGGATGGATTGCAGAGAGAGAAAGAGAGGGATGAGTCAGAATCTTGAACAGGGGCATGTAAGGCGCATTCGTGCAAGATTTCATCATCCTTTCTTCAGCTCTTCTCTTCTCTCCCGACTTTCTCTCCTCACGACTCACTTCGTCTCTCCTGACTCTCTCTTCGCGACTCGCAATGGCTTGTCCAATGAATATCCGATCAAATCTGGGGAAACTAGGGGCGATGTAGCTCCAAATCATCACCAATCGAAGGTAATTTGAGAACCGTTTAAGATTAATCCTCAAATTTTGAATTTTTGTTTTATCTCCCGACAACCTCTCTCTTCGCGACTGACTACGGCTTTTCCAATGAATTTCCGGTCGAATTTGGGCAGGATGTGGCCTCCAAATCACCACCAATCGAAGGTCAATTGAGAATCGTGTAAGATTAAATTTGTGATTTGATTTTGTTGGTTTTTTTTTTAACATTTAATTTGATTTGTTATATTTCATAATTATCCAGATAAAATTTTGATCCGATTAAGTTTTTTGATTGTGGTGATCGAAACTGGGAATCGGAAAGAAACCCCACACCCCAACAGGTATGTTCTCTGATCGTATACCCTACCCTCAACGTATGTGTGTATGTGTTAAATATTAATTCTTTCTCTCATGGATTGAATTTGACCCCCTCCACCTATTCATATTTTTTCATTGAAATTCCGTCATTATGTAATTGCTCCTTTTGGGTTTTCTGTCAAAGAAAATTTTGGAACATTATCTTGAGTGACCTGAAGTTGAAAGAATATAGGTTTGGGTTTTCCTAGAGCTCAGTTTTTATTTTTTTTTATTTTTAAATTTAATTCAAAAAGTAATATTTTGGTGCGAAATTGAGTCTTTAGCCATGGAACTCGGTAATTCCTTTTTAAGATGTTGTAGGGAAAACTAAGAAGAGGATTGATAGAGTTTAGAGCTGGGTGGGATTTATCAATTTTTCCTTTTTCTAATGTTCACCTGTATGTTATATTGATAGCAAGAAAAAGTCGAATTATACGATTGTAATTGGTATAGTGGGAATTGGCTTCTCTGTTTCGCTTTACATTGACGAATTTATTTTTTTCTGGGGGTGGTGTTCCGTTTATCCTTTCTGAACGATTCTCATCAATTTTTTGCAGTTTTCTGTACAGGTTTAGTTAAAGATGGGTAAATCAAGAGTTGTTGCTCCCATAAAAGCTGTTTCGAAGTGAGCTTCCATTTTCATTTTCTGTTTTGTTGTGAAATTTTATTTTTTCTATTTTTGCTATTGGTCGGAGATCTTGATATGATCCGTCGATTTTGAATTTGTGTTTAATTTTTTGTGTTATTTTTTAGGGCATATGTGATCACTTCTATTCTGTAACAATAATGGAAGCGGAAGCAAGAGCTGAATTTGTCTGCCAAGTGCAATCGCCCGCAAAAGCAAGTTCAAGGTTAAATCTTAGCTCTCTTCGTGCACGGTTTACCCGGAAAGCAACTATTTATATATATTCTGCTCTTTTAACTTATCAAGTTATGTGGACGAAATTGTCTTTTTGCAGCTATATACTTTGATTAGGAAGAGATTGGTGGGTTGAGCCTTTGCCTGCAGGTAGCAAGACTTTTCATCTATTTATTTTGCTGATTTATTTTTTGGGATTTGAGTTTTTATCTTCTGATTATTTTTATTTTTTGCAGAGGTATTACTTTTCCTTTGACTGAAAATTTTAGGGTTTTTAAAGTATAATGTTATCAAATTCTATTTTTCTAATTTTCTGATTTTGGGCTTTTGCAGGGAGTGCTAATATACTGAATTTTTGGGATTTTTGATCTTTGCATGATTTTTGGTCTTTGAAAGGGGTATGTGATGTTTTTAACGTTTTGGTTCTCATATGTTCCGTTCTTTGATTTCTATTGTCTGCCTCCTTCTAGGTTGCTTCGTGATTTTCATTTTCCATTGTTGGCTTATGGAATTTGTAAAAATGATTGTAGTTTTGTGACCAAATCGCAGTAAGAGTATGCCGAAACACAGATTAGCATGCAGTGAACATACATTGAATTTGAAGAAAATTTAATATATAAGTGAAGGCATATGCAGTGAACAAACATTGAATTTAAAATTGATAGGGTAGTTAAGCTTCTTCCTTAGTTATTCTTTGTCACTCACTTTTGGAATTTAATTCATTGATTTCAACGTCACTCATGTACTCTGTCTTATTCTATTCACTCATTTTTAGTATGCACCATTGAATTTTTTTTGTCATATATTATTCACTCATTTTACTCTATTCACTCATCTACTACACTAATGTTGAGATTTGGGTATCATTTGTTTTCTCATATGTCCTGTTTTTAAGGGAAATCTAATATATAAATGGATCCAAAAACTCCTGATGCAGCACATTGAATTTGTTCAAATATTGATTGTTTTCCCTTTATTCACTTCAGTTGTCGTCTTCATCTTCGTTATTTTTTCAATGGAAAAGCTGGACGATCCATGGAGCACATGTTGTTGAGCCTTTTGCCACTGCTGGTCTGGTCCAATTCGAAGGAGTCGGTGGAGGCCCTTTGGAGGAGCTGAAAAATCAGTCTCCAGCTCCATAACAAATCGGACATCGGCCCGGTACACTACTCTTCCTGCTTTCATTTTCAAATTTTTTGGAATTTTGCGCTGAATTTCATTTGGGTAATTTGTGAAATTTTGTTTTTTTTTCTTTTGTTAGGCAGCTTTTGGTGTGCCTGTGAATGTTGATTCGGCAATGCGTTTACAATAACGTCAAGAGGGAAGAGATTCAAAAGATGTTCCCAGTGTAGCTGTTTCAGAGTTGAAGAGGCTGTTGATGCTTTTGCTGCAGAAGTTTCAGCGAGAATGACGGCGAGATGCACTCAAGGATCAGGTTAGGGATCTGCGTTGTTTGACATTTCCGTGTAAACACTTTTGAGCCTGAAATATATCTCAAATTTGGGGTGTCGGGTTTGGGCTGCTAAAGCTGAAAGTTCTTTTGGCTCATACATTAAAGCGGCATGTGCTTTTGGCTCATTTCTGTACAAAAATTGAATCTTTGAATCTGCTTATTTATGTTTTGAAATGAGTGTTTGTTCTTACTACTCGAAGTGTTTCATGTGGAGATTAAACTTTGAATCTGCTTATTCATGTTTTGGGAATGTTAATCTTTTTAATTTTTTCTTTCCAGGGCGAAAATAATTAACAAAATGAATTGTGACTATAAAGTTAATTGAAGCTCTGAAAAATTTAGTGGTGGAAAAGGATGATAGATTACTGTTGTTTTTTTTTCCTTCCTATACAAAAACTACCTTTGATTTTCTTGATTGTGCGTTTATTTAATATGTGCTATTATAATCGTTCCCAATATAATGGGATTAAATTGGGACTAAATGTATCATGATGCTCTTTCCTTTTCTTCTCAGTGTAAGCATATACCAAAACAACAAGGCTATGGTGAGGGGAATAATTGTTTTTGGGTTTCGTGATTTTATGGTTTCTCTGTATCGTCACATAATAATTGTGTTTTCTTCAGCAGAAAAGGTACACCCTTTTGTTTCGTTCGACTTGAGGATTTGCACAGGATTTTGAGTTCAGGGTTTCGTATTGCATTATTAATTTTGGTATGTAAATTCTCATCTAATTGGATATTATTTTTTTGCATCATAGGTAAAATCGTTGTAGTTCTGAATTTCTTTTCTTCGATTGATTTTGGCGTGTTTGCAGCACTCAGTGTCAAGTTTTGAGATCAACGGATCAGCTCACTGCTGTGGTCGATGTTGGGGAAGGTGATGCGATGTTAGAAGTTGGGCTGGGAACAGGTTCTTTGACCAATGTTCTTATTAATGCTGGTGCATTTGTGCTCGCAATCAAAAAGGTTGTTTGAATGTCTGTGTTTCTGTGTTTCTTCTTTGAATGCAATTACAATTCTGAGTTTGTATTTGTTGCAAATTCGAGGAATTAAGTTGGTATTGCACTGATTATGTGTAATGTTTTATGGGCTTTAGGATCCATACATGGCTACTCATGTGAGTGAGAGATTTGCGGAGACTGACCGGCTCAAGGTAAAGCCATATTTTTGTCATATCTCAATATGTCTTATGCTACTAAGAAATCAGCTCTTCCCTGGCATTCTGGACAATTGGAAATTAAGTTTTATGCTTTTATGTTTTTATTGCCAATGCCATTTTGATCACTTTAGCAAGTTTTGTCACTTAAATCTGTAGGTTTTGAAAGAGGACTTTGTCAAATGTCGCATTCACTCACGTGTTGTCGTTGTTGGCATGTACAGAGCCATCGGTCTCACCCGCATGACCTTCCGCGATTCAATTTTTCCTTTCTTTAATTAATTTTTAAATTTTAAATGTTTTTGCAGATGGTTTGTTTGTTTAAATGGATGAAATCAGGTGTTGGATTAAACTGTACCTTCCACAACACAAGAAAAAAAGAAAGATTGATCCATGGCGACTGCAATTTGTGGGAGAATCCCTCTCTCCCCCAACCATGTCTTCAACACCAAACCAGATTCTCTCCATTTTTCTCAATTCTTTCCATTTTTCTCAATTCTATCCCTCTTTGCAGATTTTGGGTTTCCCTAAAAAATCTTTGATTTCTTCATCAATTGTAAGATTAGGAGCAGATTTTCTTAGCTCCTTTAATTCAAAGCTTGGATATTTTTTAAATTTTAGGAATTTTATTATCTTTTTATCGAACTTTATGAAATTTAATGTATAATTGGCCTAGAAAATTGATTCTCTCTAATGGGTTTTTTTTTATTTTTTATTTTTTATTTTTTTGTAAAATGGAAGTGATCCGTACTTATTTTACAGAACATGAACTGCCAAGGGTCAACACTTGAGAAGGTGATTTGGGTGGCGGTCGTAAAGATGGGCATTTGTAAGTCTCATCAATCTTCAATTTTTATTTTCTTGCTTTTATTTTAGTTTCTTATTACTAATTTTAATTTTGGGTGTATTTTTGACAGTGGTTGTCAAAATGATGTTGTTTATGTTGTTTTGACAGGTTCGATCATGTATATAAGCATTTGATAGTGAATACATGCAGAATGCTTCACAATTGAAAAGAAGTAGAATGGTATATTCAGGTAGTTGTCGAGATTTTTGTTGATCGCCTTTTGTTGTGATGCCAATTTACGGTTCTTATCATGTAAATTGGTTGACTAAAATGTTATTTTTTGTAAACCGATTTAGTTGTTGCTATTGTGTTCTTAAGCATGACGTCTGACTGCCAGTGACATATTCTATTGTTTTCTACAGCTACCAGTGCCTAAACCTCCAACAAAATGGAAACTTTTGCCAAAACAAAAGGTAGGAGCCGAACAATACCTTTCTTATTTTTCTTTTTTCTTTCTTCTTCCCCCCTTGAAGGCTTTGTTTTGGTTTCTCATATGTGGCCATTTGGGGATTGAGAAATGTAGTTGGATTTAAGAATTTTTGAAATTGGAACATCTTTAGGAAAATGACACAATTTGGGATTGGACCTGTCAATCCCTGTCAAGTAGTTAAAAGAAAAGTCATCGGTATCCACGGACAGGATTTCTATCAGTTTGAATTTTGTTACAATAAATTCCCTTGAGCATAATGTGTTCGACCTTTCTGTTATTTATGGTGTTCTGTGTACTGATTAATGTTTTGTATCTGTTACCTTCCAATTGAAAATTAGGTCTCACAAGGAGAAGCGTTCCTCATATTCCCCTACTGAGAAATGTGTTCGGTGTGGTGGATGCTACAACAAAATAGAAAAATGTTGGCTTAAGCTTGGAGTCCAGGTAAATATGTGTTATCCCAAACGATGGAATTGCTTCATGGGTTTTTATATTTTCCGGAACAGATTTCCTGAAAATGTTTTTGTTCACCTAGGGGTTCAAGAATAGTCAATAAGAACTTTAATCTTTAGACATTCTCATTGTTGCAGTCTCTAATGATTTAGTTAATCCTATTAGCCTATTGTTATATCAATTAAAAGAGTGTTTTAGCCTATTGTTAGTGCTTTGAGTTATATACTTTCTCATCGTTATATCAATTTACCTCATTGTCATTCTGTGTAATTCATGTTTCTGGGTGTAAAATTGTTAATGCAATTTCACTTTTGCATCTAATTAGTGGGCCAAAAAGAAAATTTTGAACATTTAAAATCCTAATCATCTCCATTTCACCCAATGCATACATATATATGACATAAGGTTTTACATTAATGTCAAATTATGTAGCAGTAGCCAAATATAAACTTTTGAAATAACATTGCTTAAAAGAGCGGTTTTAATCTGAACTCAATTCTTTTCGGGGACATATTGTACGTTAATTCACATTCTGGGATGTAATATAGTTGGCGTGTTGGGGCTGATCGTGGAGATTTTGTTTACACTGTAATTGTTGTTGTAAAGAGTCTCTATATGCTGCTTAAAGACTGGTATTGACTGATTCATGATCTGATTACTTGAGAAGGTCCATTTCTTGAAATAGCTTGCATCCTTATTGCTGGTTTGACAATCATTATGTGGTTAATTGTGGTTGTTTCAAGTATCGTGTTGGCAATTTTCATGAACATTTTAATTGGATTGTATGCATCAGTTGTTGTATATTAGGTTTGCTTACAACAAACTATAATCATTGTAATCTCCTTGGCCTTTGAGGACACATTATATGCGTGAACTACATGGAAACAAAACTTTTTTGGAAACCATCTCTTTCTAATCAAAGACGTTAAGTTTCTTCTCTCATTTTACAATGTGTTTATTGCCACCTTAAATGTATATAAAAGCAAAATTGCTTATCTTATCGATCTTATTCACTCATGTATCCCTGTCTGTTCATAATTGCATTGAATTTATTCAACTTAAATGTATTTTATTCATCCGATTACGCTTGAAACAGCTGGTTCCCGCAGCAACGCGCGGGTGTAATTTCTAGTGTTTGACTAAATGAAAGAATATGCAAACTGTTGGTGGATTAAATAACCTTGGCTTGACAACACCCCTGCTGCTACTTCCCATTTCCCTCTCGCTCTTTCCTTCTCGATCAAACTTCACCAGCGGCACCCACCGCCCCAACCATAATAAACCCCAAGGCAACCCTCATCAAAACCTAGAAACAACCTACCCCACCCCACGGTGACCCCTTCTGCACTTTCAAACCTAAAACCACAACAAGCTCTGAACAAACGCATTGTCACCGTCCACCACGAAATCTACAAACCAAGAGCACAACCCAACCTTCAAACCTTCATCCACCAGCTGCAACCTTCAAACCTTCCAAGCCGCATTATCACTCACATGCTTCACCCTCAGACCCTTAGCCCGTCTACGAACCCATCCTTAACCCACTTGCGAGTTCACAGCCGCCTACGATGACACTTGATGGTCCACTACAAACCTCTGACCAGAATGGGATGGCCTGGTCATCGAAAAGGGTGGAGGACGAGGTTGAGGGCAATCGAAGGCACGGCGAAATGGGTGAGGTCGAAGGGGTGTGGGACGGCATGTCTAGAAAGGACAACTGTGAATTTTGTTTTGGTATTTCTAGGAAACTATGGAAGAAGGCACATACAAAGCATAGAGGGTTAGGGTTTCAGACAAAGGCTAGGCCTCAGGCCATTTCCACCAAAGGCTGGGTTTTCTTTGATTTTTTCCTTAGGCCTGGAGGTACTTAATGAGACAGTAGGCCTCTTCTCCCTTAGGCCTAGGCAATTGTTGTTGTTGTTGCTGCTGTTGTTATTCTTGTTGTTGTTGTTGTTGTTTTTATTTTTAAAAGAGACATAAAGTGAACGCCTTCTGCCTAGGCTTACAAGACTTTGGGCCTTAAAACATAAAGGAAAAGTCTTGGGCTACAACTTGAATGAATGAGTGAGCAATATTAAAAAGTTTCATTACCTTGACAAATCGGCAATGAGTAAGACATCTCTTTCGGTAACTCTCCTCGACCGGAGACTTGGGGGACTCCTACTATATGCTAATACATCTCGATACTTAGAAGTTTCGTGATTACTCAGTGACTTGGATTTGTCAAGTCCCCAACCGAGAACCCTTCCTTACTCGGAAACTTAGAGGAGCACTATTTGTACCATACTTGATCAATCTCGAAACTACCGAGCACCAGTCAACGTCATACCTTCAAAGACCCACCGAGGGGTTCATGCTGAGGCACCCCTGCCGAAGTGATGTGAAAATTAACTAGCACTCAAATTAACCCTGTTTTTATCAATTGTAGTAAGTATGTAAGTAGGGATCGTTCTAGGCCAGGAGGGATTGCAAAATCACTTGAAAACTGACTCAAATACGTAAAAACAAGTTTAAAACACTAAACTAGACTCAAAGAATGCAAAACTAAACTTTAAAATACCAAAACAAACCAAAAGACTCAAAACAGCACCAAAACACTCAAAACTGCCTTAAAAACACAATCTGGGCAGTTTTGAACACTAGACACAAACTTGGACGAAATTAGGTTTTAACTTGACTCAAAACATTTAAAAACACAAACTAACTTGACTTCTAACTAATATGACTCAACAAAGAAAAGGGGGATTGATTTTGGACGAATTTGAAAACAAAACAAAACTTTGTAAAACGAACAGATTTTAAAACGAATTTGGTTTAAATGAATGGATGGAAGGCTAGCTAAGGGGTTCATCTCCACACATGTTATACTTGCATTCAAAACGATTTCCAATTGCTTTTCAATAACCCATGAATTCTCAACGCCCCAAGTTAATTAGGTCCGCTTAAATTAACCTTCAGATTTTCCTAACGTTATTGAATTGGATGATTGCATACGACAACCCAAAGCATTCCCCACAAGTCCCCTACATGATTGCATAATAGAGATACAAGCAAGAATCATTAAGTTCTATGAAAACTATAAGCATTGACGAAGCACTTGTTACTATGATTGCATGAAACTTATGCCAAGAATTTACTTAACGCGATTGAGATCATCAACCTTTACTACTTGTGAATATAAGTCCATAACGATTAGGTGAAATTTCCTTATATCCTAGCATTCAATTTATGCATGATAATTAAGCGTGCACTCTCAACCAACACACACAAATCAATGTAATTCACATAGATAAGTAAATTGAATTCACAACTTATGAAACGCAATTAGAAGTAATCAAATCATATTGCAAGGATAAACATGTATTTCGAATCCCCCCTAGCCAAGGGGGGGTTTAGTTCCTCATACACACAAAACAAAGAGAATTGAATTTAAACATTGAAATCAAAGGAAAAGAAACACCTAGAAATTCCAGCGACGCGAACTTGAATTGCATGAACTTCCAAGCTCCCTTCTCCTCCTCCTTGGTGCGGCAAAGAAGTTTAGAACAGGTTTTTGGGGTTATTTGTGGTGTAGAATGGATGGGGAATGTTATGGAAAGGTTTAGGGTTGATGGGTGGTGTGGCTAGGGATGATTTTGGGCAGAAAATATGGAATATGGTGGTGGAAAGGTGCGGCAGAGATCAAGGTTTAATTTCTGGCGTGAATGGTTATGTATGAGAGGTGGTCCATTCGGCCAAGGGGGTTTATGAGTATTTATAGGCATTTAAAACCCTAGGTAAATCAGATATGGACTTGAATAACCCAAATCCACAAGGAATTAGGCTTAGAAATCAGAATCCACCAGGGAAAAGGTCTACCAAGGTGCGGCTAAATAGGGATAGGAAGGATAAGGCTTCTAGAATGCCTTGCAAGGCAAGGAACTAGGGCATCTAGAAGCTAGGGTGCGGCACCAATGTAGGGATTAGGGATAGGGCTTCTAGAAAGCCCCAAAACTGATAGGAAATGTAGGAAACTCACGGCAAGGAGGGGAACACTCTAGAAACTTCTCATTTGTGTCCTACAACACTTAGGAGTCCTTCTAGCATTAGGAAAACATGTCTCAATCCTCCCTTGACTTGGAATTCTTCTCCTTCTTCATCTTGGAAACCTTTTCCTTCTTGGACTTGGAAAACTTCTTTGTTGCTGAAACTGATGCCATTTGGATTTAATTTTCCTACTTCAAGTAGGAAACCTTGTTTGAGTAGGGAACTTCATCTTCTAGGAATCCTAATTCCAATAGGAAACCTATTTCAACTAGGAATCCTAATTCAACTAGGATTCAATTAGGGACTTTCCTACTTCAACTAGGAAACCTTGTTCAAGTAGGAAACATCATCTTCAAATCTTCAATTTCGTCCATCCTCATGGCTCCAAGCATATGATCTTCATTCCAAGCTCTAATTTGCTCCAACAGGCTCCAAAATGCACCATTTTGCATACTTTGCCCTTAAAACCTGAAAACACATAAAACTAGCTTAAAAGACTACTTTACTAAGGAAAAACACTACAAATGCACAAGAACAAGCTAAACTAAGGCGCATAAATATGCTCCTATCATGAAGCACAAGAGTTTCCTTCCAACCAGGAGGCCAATCACAGCACGACACATGTCAACGTCAGAATAAAGCTCACGAAGTCCCACATCGACCGCAGATAAAAGCTGGAGACTCCACTCAACTATAAAAGAAGACCATTATCCTACAATTAATCCTTAATGTCATTATTGTACTTAAACTAGTCATTAGAACCCACTGATTATAATTATGCTTAAACTTATGTATTTGTATAAACTCTTCACTATTAATAAGAACTCCTCTACTTCATGGACGTAGCCTTAGGGATGAACCACGTACATCTTGTGTTTGCTTCCCTATCTCTATCTATTTACATATTATCCATACCAGGTGACCGAAGCAACTAAGCGAATGTCACAAACTTGACATTTTACGTTGTTCCAAAGCCTCCCTGATTTTGTGCATCAACAAAATAAAATAAAATAAAATGATAAATTAATAAAATAAAATAAAAAGTAAAAATAAAAAATCTTAAAAATATATTTAAAAAAAAAAACAAATGCACACACTTTTAGGATATATTATTTTTATTTCTCGAAAAGAAAAAAACAAATCCTTATATAATTATTTACATAAAATAATAATCACTTGATGGTTTTCAAGTCGAGAACGATTTTTATGATATGAGAGATTTTTCTAAGTATAAAGTATTCAAGCGTTTTTTCACATGCATAATATAAATAGATAAAATAATATATTTTTGGATATCCCTCGATTTATTTTATAACACATGGAGTATCCATTTGAATACCGAGTGTTGAGCAAAAATTGTACACAATATGTAAACAAATAATTCACTCGACATAATTTCACCCTCGTTCATTTTTTTTGAAGAGGGTTTTATTAATTTAAGTTCGACCCATTCTAGGCCACGCGCCTATTAATAAAACATTTCTTTTGGAAAGGAAAACCCTTTGATTCTAATTTGAATAAATAGTAACTTGGGGATTTGGATATTTGTTTGATTTTGTGACTGCGCCTAGGTAGAAACCTAGATTGCCTACGTACCCTCATTGAGGGATCAAGTCACTCGTAGTTCCTTGGTTTTTGGGTTTTGATGCCTTGTGCAGTTTCAGCTCGTGTAGGCAAGGGGCATTTGGTGCCTTGTGCAGTTTTAGCTCGTGCGAGCGAGGACTTTAAGCCATTGGAGCTTTGGATGCCTTGTGTAGTTTTAGCTCATGCGGGCGAGGAGCATTTTGGTGCCTTGTGCAGTTTTAGCTCATGCGGGCGAGGAGCATTTGGTGCCTTGTGCAGTTTTAGCTCGTGCGGCGCGAGGACTTTAAGCCATTGGAGCTTTTGATGCCTTGTGCATTTTTAGCTCATGCGAGCGATGAGCATTTTGGTGCCTTGTGCAGTTTTAGCTCATGTGGGCAAGGAGCATTTGAAAATTTGATATGGCTTCATGCCATTTGAGACTTTTCTTTGGCTTCGTGCCATTTGGGATTTGATACGGCTTTGTACCCTTTGGAACTTTTCTTCGGCTTCGTGCTATTTTGGTATTTGATAGCAGGAGTGAATTTAGTTTATATAAACCAGGGATTCGTTTCGGTTTCACGGTTGCGTCTAAAATTTTGATATCAGACTGCCTACGTATCCTTAACGGAATCAAACCGGCGTAGTTCGTAAATGCTTGATTTGGATTTGCATTCTTGTGTTCAGACTTGACAAAATGAGAAGTCAATTGAGTATTCAGACTTGGCAAAATGAGAAGTCGATTGGACTTGTTTGAAACCCATACATGACCTTTGGTAATATCCAATAGATCTTTGTGAAATGGGACTTCACTTTTTTCTTCAAGTAGCAACCCATATGGGATGCGCAATACAAAGTAAATAGGACTTTGTCCTTTCCTTGAGTAGAAGTTAGGATTCACGCCATATGGACTGAAAAGGCATTTAAACAGCCTTTTATTTTTGGTTGGTTGCAGGGCTTCCCTCGTGTTATAAATTCTTAGTGAATTAGGATTCATCTTTGCATGGCATTTCCACACGGTTCGAGAAAGGTTTGATCCATATAACTTCTTGTGATGCATGTTCTTTGAGGGTTCCACGTAAGTACCGTCCCTAATTAATTTGTGAAGTTTGTTTACAGCAAACTTCTTGTTTCTTGTTTTTTTTTTTTTTTGGTTTTTCCACCCCATTTAAATATGGGACTTTGAACCCATTTGATTCAAAACCTTCTGACAGCAAGCTTTTCTCTTCATTGTTTTTTTATATGATTTTAAAGCTTCCAAGTTCCAATAAGACTTGAAAGTTCGAAATCTTCTCTTCCTCTTCATGTGAGGTGCAGCCTTTATTCACCCCTTCTTTTTTTGTTTGGTGTTGCTTTCATCCAAGTGATGCTTCCTTCCATCCTTTTTTTATTTCTCAGACAAAAGACATAAAGACAGCAACTGACAATGTCTTATTTTTTTGCAGAGCCAATGGTTATTTGAAGTATGCTATTGCTGGGGCTTTTGTAATTGTAAGAAGACACCCTTTTCTTTTTGACTTAGTAGTCTCTCCTTCTTGTGACTGACGATGATGGGTAGTACGGAGATGCAATTTTGGGCCAACATCGACGGAGCCTTTGAGGAGTGTAGATTGATCTTCGAAGTTGTGGTGAACGGAGAGGTTATTGGAGACAAATATCAACTGCGGCGGAAAGAGTTTGCCCTTGTGGTTGTTGTTGAAGGAAAGCTTCAGCTTGGTGAGGCTGTCGAGCAGCTTGCAAGAGACCTTGTGGAAGAAGATGGAGGAGTCACTGTCGAACTCGGAAATGGGTTGAACCAAATGCCTCTTGGGGAAGCTGAATACGAGGTGAGTCCTCAAAGACGTAGCTGGCGGATACGGCGGCGGTGTTCGTAAATGTCTTCATTGGTGTTGTTGAAGTGTTTAGTGATCGACGACGTCACAGCGGGCTATTGTCAAAGTCCAGGTGAGAAGGCAGTCATCCGGTTCCAGTTTGTTGTGAAAAGTGAGAGAGCTTCGGAGCCATCACTAGGCACAATGGTTTGGCACTGTTCCTTTATGCAAGTCGTACTTCCAAACTTCTTTAGGCACCCATTCCTTCATTGACGCGACTTCCTTGGGTTTCTTCTGGTTTTATGCAACATGGCATCACTAAAACCCCATCTCCTTCAAGCCATACCCTCCATTGACCTTAGAGTTCTTCTGGTTTTATGCAACACGGCATTACCAAACCCATCTCCGTCAAGCCGTATCCTTCATTGATGCGACTTCCTTCGGGTTCTTCTGGTTTTATGCAACACGACATTACCAAACCCATCTCCTTCAAGCCGTATCCTCCATTGACCTTCGGATTCTTCTGGTTTTATGCAACACAGCATCACCAAACCCATTTCCTTCAAGTCGTATCCTCCATTGACGTGACTTCATTCGGGTTCTTCTGGTTTTATGCAACACGGCATTACCAAACCCATCTCCTTCAAGTTGTATCCTCCATTGACGCGACTTCCTTCGGGTTCTTCTGGTTTTATGCAACACGACATTACCAAACCCATCTTCTTCAAGCCACGTCCTGCGACTTCCTTCGGGTTTTTCTGGTTTTATGCAACACGACATCACCAAACCCATCTCCTTTAAGCCACGTCCTGCGACTTCCTTCGGGTTCTTCTGGTTTTATGTAACACGGCATCACCAAACCCATCTCTTTCAAGCCACATAATGTACGGACTTCATCTGGAAAATTACTGGAGATGATGGTTGAAGAAATGGCGCGACTGCTGTGGAGCCAAAAATATTGACAAGGTGACATGTGGATTTTTGGACAAAAATGACAAAAATACCCTTGCAGTACAACGAGGTTCCTACACGCAAGCAGCGGGCAACCCTCTTTCAACCAAGACAGAAGTGCCCAAAATAGGTAACAATTCAAAGTCCATCTCAACAAATCCTTTCTACAAGGTAATTCCCAAACACATTCCTTTTAAATTATGTTAATTGGCTAATTAATGGGTTTATTGCTCAATTAACCCATTAGTTGTCAATTAAACCATCCATTATATCCAAATAACCACAAAATACATCCAATTTAACCCTAAAATACCACATGGCCGGCCATCCCTTTAGCTTTCTACATTCCCTATCTTTTCCCACTTTACTACCCCAATTAAGCTAGCTAGATTCTATAACCATCCATTTATTCCCTTTATGTTTAATTAGCCAATTAATCATAATAAATTGGCTAATCAAACCTAAAATTCAACCACAAAACCCACTTCCTATCCCTATAAAAGTGATCCCATTCTCACCAAAAAGCCATTCCAACACTTTGGCAAAAATCTCAAAATTCTCTAAACACTATTTCTCTTTAAATTCTAACTTTGGCATCGGAGGTTCTTTGGCCAAAGTCCCCCCCATTCATCATGGGCGCGTGAGGCTCTTGGCCTTAACCTAAGGTGTTAATTGTTTTGTAGGTGCAAAATTGTCCAAGATCAAGGAGGAAGAAATTTACGTCCACAACTGCTACTTCTGTTTGGGCTTCCGTCTGACGTCGGCAGTTGATGCAGCGTTATGCAAAGAAGGAAAGGCTGCTGCTTGTTCATCGTCACTGCTGTTGCCTTGTTTGAAACCGTCCTTGCATTATCGACGGGTTTCGGGACCATCGCTGGGCACAATGGGTTCTTCTTCTTCACTTATTGAAACGTGGAAGATGATGGTTTCTTCTCCATTGCATTTCTGAAGAGACAAAGAAAGATGTCGAAACTTCTTTAGACACCCAAGAGGCTTGTGGCAAACCGATTTGCTACTGCATTTTGGTGAGATCTCCGTTGTTTTTGTTTTTGTGGAGCTGCAAATGTCTCCATCGGTGGAGACAAAGAAATAACACTCCGTGGGTGGATGAGTTGACAGCGACAAGGACGAAAAAGACGACAAACGTCTCCAATGGTGGGGAAGAGGAAAGAATGAGCCCAAGGACATGTTTGGGGGGGTCAGTATGAATTGATGGTGCATGTTTCCACCACCATCTTCTTTGCTTTGGTTAAACAAGAAGAAAAGAAACCCCTCTCCCCCTCCCCCCAATTTTTCTGCAAAAGATGACTAGAACCTCCTAATAAAAATCAGGAATCCATTATGAGAACGTAAATACCTTTTTAAGCTTTCTCCTCTCTTTTGGCTTCTTCTTGCTGTTCCTTTTTGCTTTCTTTTGCTGCTTGTCTTCTTTCTTTTTTTTCGTCGATTTCCTTCCTCGTGTGCTTCTTAATTTATGCAGCGTTTTCTTATCACCCCCCTTCTACTGCGACTGATGCCTATTTATAGGCATCATAGGAAGCCTCGGGAGCTTTTACGTGGGGAAGATAAAGGCCATATCTTTCGCCACCTTCTCCCATTAACCGTGTAACCTCCCACGTCTTGCAGGAAACCCTCCACGTTTTGCAGAAAAATAGGAAGTCCTTGTTCCATGTTACTTCTTTCTGACCGAAAGTGAAGTTGTCTCGTCTTGGCGTGGCAAATTACTTGCAAAATAATTTAATTTGATGGGGGACATTATATGCATGCATTGTACGACTTGGATTTCCAAGTCTAAACTCTTCACAGCATTCCTATTTTCTTTTGAGAAGTTTGTTTGTTGCAAACTTCTTTATTTATTTATTTTTTAAGTCTCCCTGTTTTAATAAGATTTGCTAATATATTTTGTTTGTGAAAATATATAGCTCAACACCGAGCATATAAAAAATTTCTCGTATGACACAGTATATCGTCATGGTGACATTGCGTGCTAATATAATAAAAATACGTGTAAATTTTTAGTCTAATATCTTTGTTTTATTGACACAAAATGTTAAATGGCAGTATACCCTTACATTTAGTTGTTTTCATTTTAGTCACACCAAAAAATATGTGATGAAATTAGTGGAAGATGTGATGATGTACACACTGATGATGTTCATCTTATCTGTCATGTCCCATCTTCTTCTTAAACGTTCTACGCACCACTAGAATTCTCCACAAGAGCAATCAGACATTGTTTTCTTTGTACACACTTAAAGGTGCCCACTTTGAGTCCGCAAATGACACACCCCGACTGGAATCGAAACGTGTTGGCCGTCACATAAGGGTGACGTAGCCAAGTGCGCAACGGGAGTGAATATGATAATAAGAAGATGCGAATAAATAAAAACCAACTAAAACATACCTACTAAAGATAATACGAAGTGAACAAGTCAAACTACAAACAGTTCAGAGAATAGGTATCAAAGGTGCAGTCAAATTGAACAGGTACTAATTATACAAAACAGGGAGAAATTCCTACACTTATTTAGGAGATCGTTAGAATCGCCTGGAAGTTCTCGTGAGCCACATATATGCACAACTAACTAGAACCTGGAGGGGCGCAAAATAGAAAATGTGAGTGGGCAAAAACAAAGTGTTCGAAAACATGCTTATCTTTTTTGAAAACAATCACCCTTATCTGTAAAACCTGTATAGTTTCCCAGATACGTATATACGTACGAAAGCCAATGCATAAGGCCAGTAAAAACTGAAGTATGCCATGTCATAATATCTCAGCAATAATAAACGTAAGCCAAGTGATACAAATCAATGTAAAATAGTATGCCAGCCGGAGTCACCCAATGTGACTTGTACGGCTAAATCTGTAGCTCATCAAGTATGTCTACACACGAGTTGGAACCACCTACAGTGGTCTGGACAATAGAGCTGAGTGTAAATAAATACTCTCAAGTGCTACGATCACGTGAAGACTGTGTGAATAATCGCGGGTCACCTACAAGTCGAAACCACCTATTGTGGTTTGTACGATAGGGCTGTGCACTAAACTTGGATCCAATGTGAGCGTGCGGTGCGGGAGGTGAACATCATGTGAAGGCCTGTGCCCTGGCCACGGGCATGAGCACTAACACCGGGGTGCAGGATAATGAGCTCTAAATGCATCCACGCATAACCATATACAATACGACTAATACCATTAGAATGTACTCACTTGAAGCTTACCTGAGCCTCCGCAACATCATTCAATACTATGCATAAATATGCTAATGCAATACTAAAACGTAATGCACACATGACGTGGCATTTAAAACATACGTTCATTTAAAACAATTTCTGGGAATCGTAAGCATATATACGTATATATAGAAAAAAAAAGCCCACTCACTGATAGGTAGTAGGGTCGTAGCCCTCAAGTCTCGCCTGACCACGTTCGTCCCCAGGGTACGTCTAACCTATATGCGAAATAGCTAATTTAACATTAATTCGATAACACATAAACAAAATCTAGGATTAACTTCTCATACGTTGCTCAATTGGGGTATTTGAATATACCAACGTGATCTACTCAACACCACGAACACCCCCATATTTTTAGAAAATTTTTCTGATGTCCCACTCACCCTTACGCGCCAACCAAGGCACGACTACACACGTCGGCCACGCGCAGGCACTTGCCTGGCACATTGACGGAATCCCTAACGGCATTAGGGAATATTCCATTTAAAAACTAACGGAGTTACCTGACGCCGTTAGTATATTCCTTCAAAATTGACGAAATATTCCTTTTCTTCTCGGTGACTCACCGGAATCCGCCGCCGGCTACGCCAAAAACTAGAAAAGTTTCTAAAGCTTATAACCATTTCATTTCTTAACCAAAATTCACAAATTTTATATGGATTTGAAGGTCTTGAAGAATAAAACACAACCATGCCTATTAGAAGTCCAAAAACCAATGGAAAACGGTCGGAATAATTCTTGGAAAAACCGGCCAACTCTGTAATCCCACGATCGTGGTTATTCCGATGTCCAAACTTCTCCAAAACTAATCTAAAATGCTAGGGAAGTCGTGTGAGTACCTTACTAAGCCTTAAAACCTTGAAATCACGTTAGGATCATGACGGAGCAAACTTCACCTCGCCAGAGGTTATGGTTTCTCGAGTTTTTGTGATTGGTTCAACGGCCAAAAGGGATCACTCAACTCGTGAGGTCACGAGGAACACGATGGTGACAAGTTTATGTTCAATCTGAGGCGTTTTGATGAAAGTAGGTGTGTGTGTGTGAGGGTTTTGGGTGTATGGACAGAGAAGAATCGAGAGAAACGAAAAGGGTAAAGGTATGGGTGTATGTGTGTGGACACGAATTGGCCAACAAGAATTAAAAACAAGCCCTGATTGGGTTGCCGTGAGAAAAAGAAAAGAAAATGCTATGTAGCCTAATTAGAAGAAAAAAAACCAACCCAAATTTACATTTCTACCAAGTCTCGCTCTAAAAATCATCGTAATATTTTCGTTCAGAAACCGATCCGACCCTAATTCGCGTCAACACGTTCGTGAAGTCGAGTACGATTTAATTATGTCAGCGAGAAAATCTATTTAAACCTGAATATGTACATCCATGTTACTAAACCACGAGGGCAATATCATCATTTAACACACCCGGGGGGAGAAAATATATAATAATTCGGGACGGGTCGTCACAACAAACTCAGGTAATATGGTTAATGGAGTAGGTGGTCGGCTTAAAAATCATAAATTCATACAACCCTAGTAATGAAAACAGAACAAGTCAATTTTTGGGAGGCTTTGTCAAGCATGGTCCACGAGAGATTTTTCAGTGTGACCGGTACACGGGATGGTATACCACGTGTCACTATATAAATGGTGGCATATGTGTGTTAAAAAATTAATAACTTAAAAAATAAAATTTCCCACCACTTCTATAAAAACACGTGATGTACCACTCGTGCTCCCATCACAATGAAAAATTTCTCATGTTCCACAGTCTGTCCATTTAAAAAAGTTTCATTACCT